ATGCTGGCCGTGCCCAAGAATGCTGTACGTTGGAGGATATCGAGTGAGATTTCACACTCCAGCTTCTTGACATGTACTTTGAAGTCTTTCAGGACGACGCCAGTAGTGCCTATGATGATCGGAACTATGGTGGTTTTCATTCCGCACAACTGTTCCAGTTCCACTTTCAGTTCGGAGTTTTTCTTTTATTCAGCCATTTATAGCTGACGTCCGAGTCGATCGATGGTTTATCCATGATCTTGGGATGCTGGCCGTGAAGCGGTTTCTCCTTCCATCGTGCTTCTCTTTGTCCTTGGTCTGCCGTCTTCACATCCGTCGTGTCGCAGTCGTCATCGAGATGGAGTGCATTTCGAAAGCGGGAGGCATCTCCCTGGATGGAGTGGGATTTCTTGAGGTCATCGCGCTCTCTCAAGATGAAAATGAGCCGTCCCTGTTTCCTTTCGATGAATCTGGCGACTTTGCACGTCGTCCGGTTGTACATGCCCACAAAGTTTCAATTTTATACGGTTGCCTTTTTCACTGGTGAAAAATCATGTTTGGAAAAGCCGACGCACCGAAAAGCTAAGCCAGGAGGGGATGAACCATGAAAGCTGAATACTCTCTCAACTCAATAATTCCAAATCAATGATACGTGTGCCAAGTTTCACTTTTCCATTTCTGTCCAATTCACCACCACAAATATGTGAAAACATCTCCCCTTGAAATTCATGCCCCCTGGGAATTTCATTCCAAAGTCGGAATTTTTATGCACGCAGCTTTCCAGTAGGTAATTATGTACCTAGCTTCATCTTTGCACACTAGCTCAATACACCAGGACAAAAAAATACCTGAAAACGTTAGCCCCCAAGAATATGCCACCAGGGCATGAATATAACGTGTTGCGTTTTTCCTGAACTCGTCGTTTCTGGCCTTCCTGTCCTCAATGGACTCATTTCCTACCGCACAGGAGAACCCTTTGCTTTCGTAGATGTCTCTATTATATCTAGGATCACCTAATCTAAAGTTCTTGATCGAATGAAGGGTGACGTTTAAGGTGGAGGAAAATACCGTTTCTAAAGAGGGCCCCGAAGGAGACATATCTTCAAGGGACGAAATTTAGCACTTTTGATACACGAGGGGTCACGGTTGTAATGATGTCTTATGCCTTTCAAACAGTATGGGATCAGGCCTCCAACCAATATAGTCGTGTCCAGACATGCCGAATAGACATCATTAATGAGAATATAAAGGAATAAATTAAAATTCGGACCACAATTTTTTTCACTTTCCCTGGTGGCAGTTTTCCTTATGTACGTAGTATGATACGAAAATCCTTACTTCTCCTCAGGACAAATCAAGTATATGAATTCGATAGAAAAGATATGAGGTTGTAGATCAGGGCTCACGGGAGGCATCTATCGTCGAAGGTATGCACCTTACTGAAGGCGACAGAGAGCACTGAAGATGCCTAAAGACATCCCTAAGATGTCCCTAAGTCATCCTCCTCAAGATATCGAAAAGCGTTTGACTGAAGATATCTTCAAGATATCCCGATAGGGATATCTCTAAGATATCAACTGAAGATGTCTCGAAGACGTCCCGAAGACATCCCTTACGAGATGTCCGAAACCGTCCGAAAGATGTCTTCAGGATATCCTATAAAGACATGGGGACAAGTCGTCCAGTTAGGGACATCCCTGGGATATCCCTGTGCTGTGTGGGTATTACACCGGTGGCTTACATAACTAGACAAATCTGCGATATTTAGAATTCAATTTTAATAGAGCCTTCCACTTTCTTACCATGGTGATGAGCTTGTTCCTAGAAAACTTTCACTTTAAAATATTGTGCATTCTCACTTTTATCTAGGTACTTTTTCAAGAATGTGACGAACCGAAACAATCTCTTTTTGAAAAAGAATAGTCTTGCATGTTTAGAAATTTCCCAACATACATATACAAATTGTTATCAAAGAGGAGCAAATGTAGCAACATAACTGACCTGGAAAAATTTAAACCTTTATTTGCTCTGAGATGTATTCTGCTGGATCGCCATCCGGTCATCTGTTTCTCGATAGAGCCACTTCAATTTTGCAGCTGTTTCACTTCTGAGTCGCTGACTTTTCTCAGTAAGTGTAAACCCCCACAAGAGAAGGGATTCGCGGTGAACAGATGATGTGATGTTGGTTCCAGGCATGGGCTTCCATGATTTGGGATAGCCTCCTGTATACCAGCGGATCTTCACCATATTGGCATATCTACTGCCTGTATCTCTCCCAACCAAGGACGGGATAGCTCATCATCTGTATAAACAGCTGCAAGCATTCCCGGTTGGAGATATTCTGTTCCACCAAATGTCCCCTGCCTGCGGCTTCCCACTGAATCAATGATAGGCTGTGAAAAGAAATATAGTACAATGGAGAAATATGTATAGACAGTTGCACTGCTGCATCATCAGGAGAAACATTGCACGTGTTTCTCCCTTCCCTTGCAAAAAAACCTTAACTTGAGAGCATCTACAACTTTAAAGCACAACTTTTGACTTGGGATCACTGCACTAGTGAAGGAAGATAAGCCATAGACATATATATTTGAAACAGCTGATACCCCAGTGACAAAATGCACTACAATTCTTCCAAATAACCATAGATGTAGATCATGAGGCCAGCATGTGCTTCTATACATGAATTCTGTGCATATTTGCATACCTGTTCAAGAGGTCCAAGCAACTGGTTCTCCATGCCCCTCAGGAAATTCAGCATGACTGGAGTCATTACTGGTGTGGTGAATGTCCTCTTGTGTTCCATAAGAGTCCTGATGTATAGAGTGACTTCCTGTAACAAATGCACAAAACAAACAGTAACAAGCTCCTACATTTTTAAAATGATGCATAAGCACACTCTTCAGGTATTTGAAAATGTTACCGGTTGAAGAGTATCGAGGGAGAACATGTTCCATGCCTGAATCTTGTCCTCTGGCATCCTTGGAAATTAGTTAGGTATTAAGGTCTTCACTCATTTCAACCCTGCTCTGTCCCAGTCAGGATGTACCTAGGAAGTAAATGCATCAACAGGTGGAATTGTCTAAGGGCAAAATAGAAAATTAATTATTATTAGACACCCTACTTGTTCAGAGGCATACCAAAGAATGTTTCTTCTGAAACACACTCTGGCTACAAGCTCGGAGCTTGTAGCCGGAGAGCCGTTTAGAACTCTGGCCTTCAGTAGTTTAAAGACGAGGAACCGTCAGCTGGCGCGAAATCCGGGTCCACTTCCTGTGGTCGGACCACATGGGCGTTTCTTTTGGCGGGGACTTGTCTTTGCAGTAACGGAGGGCCTTTGGTAGTGGTTGCGCGACGGTTGATCGGGGGCCCTGACGGTCTCCTGGATTGTGGAGGATATGGCGGACCAGGAGAATAGAAGTCTTGCTCCTCGTCGCTATAGGGCATCACTGGGCAGACTGCCAGTAGTAGTTATGGCCCTCGTAGGTTTGAGGAAGGGTTGCCGACACCTTTGGCTTTTCCTTTGGTAGCTCCTTGTCTAGAGCAACCGCCCTTCAGCGGGCCGACAGGGGGACCTGATCCCGTCGGACTGGATAGGGGTGCAGTGCGTAGGGCCTGGACCTGCAGTCTCTGACCTGGTGACCAACCTTTCCACATGACCAACAGACGAAAGATGGTAGTCGTTCGAAAGCTGGCACTGGTCCTGGCGGCGGATCTAGGCGCCGTCGGGGCCTGGGGCCCATGGCGGCGACGGTCTGGTCATGCAACTGGGCGGTCTGAGTGCATCAATCTGCTCTTGTAGGTGCGCCACATCTGAAGTCGGACGAGAGGCAGCCATGCCCTGCCAAGCTCCGATTTCTCGGGCTGCTGATGAGGCGTATTCGGCCATTTTCGGCCGGGCTTGCTGGACTTTCTCTGTGAGCGTCCATGGTAAGCCGAGGATGAATTGGTCCTTCAGGAACTCATCGAGCACGTCAGCTGGTACGTGGGAGTACGCCCTCATTGCCAATGCTTCGAGTTCATGATAGAACTGTTCCACAGTTTCCGCTGCGCCGTTGGTCTGGCTCTTGAACTCGGCGCGGTGTACTTCCCGCAGTGAAGGGGGTTGGATCGCGTTCTTCAGGATTTCTTTGATTAGTTCGTAGCCCAAACCTGGGTCAGGGGCGAGCGAGATATACTTCAAGAAGGCTGGACCAATCAATTGGGTCGGCAGCATAGCCAACCGGCGAGCGTCGCTCCATTCGTTGGCTAGAGCACAAAGCTCAAACCTCTGAATCCAGACATTGAAATCTGTCGAGCCGTCATACGGGCTAGGCAGCGCCGTATGTTGGTCGTGCGGCATTAGTCCGCCGTTCGGCATTCCGGATTCCTGGTTGGGTACAACTGTCCGAACTTCCAGTTCAGGAGACGAAAGGTCGTGTCCCTGCTTATCCTGCGGAGCTTTCTTCTTCCTGCTCGAGCGGGTCCCGGCGCCTTCCACTTTTACAGTGGTTACTCCTGTTGTCGGGACGAGAGCTTCCTTGCCCTTATTCCACCGGTTTCCTCAGCTCTGAGAGCGAGGATCCCACCGCTGTCGTGTCGTAGTCCGTTGTGAGGTCCGGGTGGAAATATGGTCACAAGGGGATACGGTGACAACAAAACAGGTGTTTTATTATTTTTCTCTATTCATCCAGTATTAAAACCAACTCTTCTGGTTCCGAAAGCGCTGCGGGGTCCTGGTGTCCAGTGGCCGGCGTCGCTCGGAGTCTTCCTCTCGGAGGGTCCCACTCCACCGTCGTGCATGCCCCTAAGGTCTCCACACACACTGCGGTAGAGAGGAGGGATGAGGGGCTGTGTCCCACGTAGGATGCCTGCTATACTTTCCTGGGCTGCGGTCTAGCCGGGTCGTTGCAGAATATTTTGACCGTACTCGTCAGGGCTTAGGTCGAGCCTGCTTTCGGGTCTCTCCGGGTTCGCACTTTTCAGGGCATAGATCAAGCCTGACTCGATGCGAGGTACCTTCCTTTACAGGGCTTAGGTCGAGCCTGTTTTTCAGGTACAGGATCTCAGCGGGAGGGATCTGTTCAGGGCTTAGGTCGAGACTGACTTTTGCTGCCTCGCTGAGGGTTCGCTTTTCCGTCTTTTTTTATTATAAAAAGAGCTAATGGTATGGTGGGCCCCGCTGTCAGTGATGGACCGCCACATGACTCCCGCCCACCATGGTGAAATCCTCCCAACACCAGGGCTGGCAGAGTGCTATACACTGGAGAAGCTGTTGTGAACGCCATGGGAAGGTGACCCATGACTCAGGCATGAGGACGAGTGTGCAGGCACGCTCGCCACCGCGACTGGATCCCTCCCGTTATTACTTTTAGCTGTTAATTCTATAATTTCCTTTTTGAGACAGAGAGCAGCCTTTAAGAGAAGCAAAAACAAGAAGGTCCTATCATTGAATTGGTTAGTAGATTTGGGGCTGATAACGTTTTAGGTCCACTTGTTTCTGAAGAAGTTAGCAGTTTACGATCCTCTTTCTTTAGGTACGTTTTAATTTATTTGATGCTGAATTTACTGGATTTACATCCTGTAGGAAGTTTTTTAAAGAGCTGGCCGGAAGGGCCTCATCAGGCGCCCTGGTGAGAGGGGCTAAAGCAGGGTGTAATTTGAGACATTGGAGTCATGCGAGAGGAGTTTGAGGAGTGAGGTATTGGATTGGCCGCTGAAGTGAGAGTGAGAGGGTCTGATTTTCTTTTTCATGCTTAGAAACAACAGGCAACAGAAAAATGAAGGAGAGAGGAGCGAGCAAGTGGGGGATGAGAGCGAAAGTGAAAGGAAGGTGTGCGGGAAGGAAATGAAAAGGGGCTTTGAGCAATAGTGCGCGACTGGATATTCCTCCGCGGCAGAAGAAAAGCACTGCGCGAAGGAATAGAAGGAGGAGAAAGGAAGTGGAGCAAAAATCGAGCGAGACAGAAAATTTTTTTTTTCACCCTCATCAGTTCAAGTGCCCCAGAAAAAAAAGCACTGTTGACACAAGAATTATGAGAACGGGATGGTTCAGGGGTCAGGGGGAGAGCAGTTAGTTCCAAGATTATATTATAAGGATAAGTTTTACAGCTCTTAAAGCGCCTTATGCTAAATTTCTTATTGAATCTCACAGGAATTTCTTTGATGTCCCCTGGCCTTTTAGGGTCATTGTAATAGATATAAGCTAGTTGAGAGGCGTGCCGAGAGAGGGGGTGAGTCCGCAGATTCTGTATATATATTAGTTGAAAAAATATGAGGGAAGGCGTAAGGCGTATCTTATAGCAGCTCGTTCGATGCGTTCTAGTTGGTCGAGAACTGTCTCTGGGCAGTTTGCCCAAGCAGCAAACGCGTACGTTAAGACCGGGCGGATGTACGTTACATATAACTTCAAAATTACGCGAGGCTCACATAAGTTAACCCCATTTGTTAAATCTTCAAGCAGTTAAGGTGGTACGGGAAGGAAAATCGATGGGTCTGGGATTCAAAATTTTATCCGTAATTCTTATGTAGGGGGTCTCACAAAAGCCAGAAAGCACTTTCTTATCTCCCTATCACTTTTACTTAAGCCATAAGTCTTGTTCAAAGTTTCCGGT